CTTTCCCGGAGGACTCTGGACAAGTAAGGAACAAACAGAATGACATCAGACACTAAAACAGCAAAACCTGACTTACTGAGAAGAGAAGCATTCATCTGTTGTCTATCTCAGAACTGGTTTGTTTACATATTTTTAAAGAGACAGGGTAACCTTATCATACCTGTCTAAAGTACCATCTAGCTATATTACAAAAAGCACCTAATAAATCCTTTTATTGAAGTGCACAAAATGTTCTACTGTTCACATTTTTTAAAAATTCAACAACACTCTGTAATGACTGCTTCAGGCATGGCATTACACCACAGAAAATATTATCCTCAGCAAGTAATGTGCTTTCAATTACGTTGCCATATAATACAATACATTTTCACAAGTGACCTCCCTCCTTCCAAAAGTGCTTATGTGGATGATCTGATGCAGCCTTATTTTCCACTTCACACAAGCTCTTGCAGAGCAACCATGTATATTTAAAGGAGCTTTATGTAGCCATAAGACATTCCTAAAGCCATACAGAACCACAGTTAACACATTGATGAAGTCTTTTAGGAAGGACATAACGTGCCCAAGGACACTGTCTCTTTCTCAAGATGGTAGCTTTACTTGAGATGGCTGTTAAAAAACTGCAACAGGATATAAGTGTACCACTGCTAACATGACCAGTCCATTCAGACTACTAACATCAACAACTGAGTGTCATTGTTTCTGTCAAATACAATGAAATAAACCTCTCATCTTCTAGAATTGTTGGCTGCATGCACCCCATACATTTAAAGCACATGATTTCACCCCCAAAATCCTAGGAACTGTACCATGTTGAGGGTGCTGAGAACTGTAGCTCTGTCGGCAGTACACTAGTTCCTGGGATTCTTGGAGGATGGTCATTAGCTCTAAATGTATGGTGTGTCTGCAGCCACCATGTAACCAGGAAATTCATTAATAAAAGACCTCTAATATTGATTCCCAACTGAGGAAGGGCAAGCCAAAAAGAAAAATAACTTCATATGTGTTATCCATAAGAGCTATGTCAGTAAATCCTACAACAATCCTGTAAGGAAGACCAGTTTTATTCACATATTACAGGAGGGGGTGGGGAGACCGAGGCAGCAAGTTGGAGACATGTCTAAGGCAACCTACTTAGCACATTCCTTGCTTGATGAGTGGCTTAAGATTCACAGTCTTCAGCACAGCATTGGTGCATCACTCCAAGGGCATGAGATTTCACAACATGTGAACAGAGCAATCATCAAGCAATCCCTGTTCTGCAGTGCTTACTACGCATCAGCTGTCAACAAACATCTTGAAACAGGATCTTTTTACTGCTGCGAATCATTTATTTAGCCATGCTGAACAGTATATGCTAGGTGCTTTATGGGACACAAAAAGAAAGGCCCTGCATTAGCCAGATAAAAATGGGGGAAAGAAAGATACTGTATAGAGGTTTCTACAGGCAAAAGAAACAGCATGGTAAAAGACTGGAGTGGGAGAGAGAGAGAGACAAAGGCAGCTCGGAATAAATGTATACTCCAGGACGACTCTTTAAGTCTGACACAAAAGTAGGGCTGAAGAGAGTGGTAGGCCTCTCACTGTGCTGGCTGCCTGCTTACTCATCTCTCTCCCACCTTCAGCTTAAAAAGGCTCCAGCTGTAACCAGAGACTGGTGAAGATTTCCTCAGCATATGCTCTGTTCTGTGGGCAGAAGGTAGGTTGGGATCTACTGATAGATCTATGAATGATTTGGGGTAGTTCAGCAAGGAATCTGACTCTCCAACTGTTTAGCAACACAGAGACCTTTCTTCTTCTAAATTAGAGTGGAAAGCTGGCACGAGGTGGAGAAACAGGAATGGACCCTTGTGTGATAGGCCCGTAAGCTCAGTAAGTTCTGCTACTGAAAACAAAAATTCCAAGGGTATGTTTCCACCCACCCACTATCATGTACCTGGCTCTTGTCAGTAGATCTGAGAGTTCTGCTTAAATAGAGAAGATCCCACAAGCCTGAGGTCTACCTGCCCCTGAACACTGAACACTGAAATCAGCAGTCACTGCAAAACAATTTTGAACAACAAGGTGATTCACCCACTGTATTGTAACACAACAGTTATGCTATAGTAGTGTGCTGGCAGCTTGGGATATAGGAGGACCAGGATCAACCTAGTGATGTAGAAGATCTTAAATGGGGGGGGGGGGAGAGATAAAATGTCCTTATTTTTGACACCTCCCCACCCATCCCATCTACCTTTACCTTTTTTAACCTTTTGAGGCCAGCTGACACTATGGGGAAATGTAGTTTCCATGGTTCCTGTAATCCAGGAGTGAGGAACCTTTTTCAGTCAAAGGGCCCCATTCCCTTCTAGACAACTTTCCAGGGTACACATGCCAGTGGTGGACAGGGTCAAAGGGTAGAGCAATGAATGTAACCTTTACCTTACTACGTTGGTTAGTTTCTATACATACCCTCAGAGCCTTTCTCTATCTTCCAGCCAGGCAAAAAACACAAGGAGGAGGTGAAGCAGCAGAAGGGATGTTGTTTGGGCTGAGTCCTAAGGCCATGAGAAACTAGAAGCAGCCTGCTGGATCACTCTAGTGGCCCATCTAGTACAGCATCCTGTTCTCACAGCAGCCAACCAGATGCCTATGGGAACCTCTAAAACAGAACCTGAGCACAATAGCACTCTACCCGCTTGTGATTCTCAGTAACTGGCATTCAGAGTCGACCCAAGAGAGGTTTGCAGGGCTGCATTCGATTCCCTCCTGTAATCCCTAGACAATGCTGGAAGGACATAAGGAACTGCATTTTAATAGTTCTTCATGCCCCTGAAACCTGACACAGCATGTTGCAGCAGCTACATCATAATTGGGGGTTTTCATGCACATCCTCCCAGCTGCAGGACTGGGAGGCCTCTGGGCATCATCAGGAGTGACCATCTGTTATGAAAATAAGTTACCTTTCTCAAATCAAAACAATTTGGCTTGGAGAAGGGATATCCATTTCTGGTTCAATTCACAATTCGTTGTTGTGGGGATAAAACAATGTAACGATCTGTTTATCTATCTAAGATCTGGGCACAGAATAATTTTTTAAAAAGAATATGAGTATACTTAAAAAATAAAGGTGAAAGGTCCAGATTTCAAATCAAGGATCAGTTTAAACCTTGAGAAATCACATGCCAATTCCATGGCTCTGTCCAGAAAACACTGCTGAATCAGTGGTCAATGATAACGCATCTCTTCTGGAGCAAACACATCAGACAGGACTCACTATTTAGCATATTATCCAGTTTGCATTGTCATGTCTTCGCCATTCAAAATTCAGGAGTACATAAATGAGAGGCTAGGAATCCACATCTGCAGACCCTCCACAAGGGTTACAAAAGATTATGAATGCAAGAGACAGACATATTAAAAAGTGCATTAAAAAGTGCATATTATATTCAAATTCATACTGAACCACAAAGTTTAATTTAGATGCACTGAAGCCAAATGTCTCTTGATGTGCCTGGGTTCCAGAATTACCTACAAGAAATCACCTACAGTAAGCCAAACACATTCTTTTTAAGAGCACATATGGAGTGGGGGAGAATGGTGAAACATTTGGAATTTCTTCTGAGAAATGAAAGCTAGCAGGCAATAAACTCAAACATGCCCCCCATTACTGTATTATAAAGCTGGAATGAAGTGGAACAGAGACTCAAACATGACAAAAGGATCCCAGGATTTGTGACAGAGTGATGGAAAGAAGGGAGAGGCAGTAGGCTATGGTAACCTTCATCACTGCCATCCACTTCCTTGTACAGGCAAAAATGCTTAGTATTCAGAGACGGTGTCTCGTGATTCTGAGCAGAACCATGGTGCAATCCTCTTTCCAGGAAGAGCAAAAGATGGAAGAACTCCAGTTCCGCAAACTCACCTAGAACAATGCCCCTCACTAAATCCAACAGCACAGACCTCACAGTTCTGCCAATTCCATTCAAGGCCCTGGGACAGAAGGCTCAAGATAGCTTATCAATATTCCCCACAGCTAATACTCCCCATTCCATGTGCTATCTAATGTCTTTCCTCTACCTCCCCCCCTCTTTCATTAAATGCACACTTTGAAGCCATTACTGCAGAATGCATGTGGGAAGGGGAGAGAAAGTCGTGGCTTTCCATTTGGGAAATTCTCCACAAACTGAAATCTTGCTGCTTTCCTAAGATGGTTTCTTAAGACTGTGCAATGAGACGCTCTAACAAAAAACCCTATCGCAATTTTAAATTTCCTTTCTAAATTAAACAAAACAAAACAAAAAAACCACGCAGAGAAACCCTGCTAATTGCCATATTGATCAGGAAAGATGGAGATGAAATTACCATCCATCACAGGAGATGGAACGGCGTCCCTTCGTCTCACCAGGGACCCAGCCTTGTTCATAGCCATCTCGAGCGTAGATTCTCCGCTCAAAAAACCCCCCCGCCAGGCTCCCACCACCGCCCCGAAAGGGATTCAAAAGCCGCACGAGACAGACGCTCCAATTCGAATGCACACGGGTGCATAAATCCGGATCGATTATTATTATTATTATTATTGGATCCAAGACGACCTGCCTCTTCCTCCTCATCGCCAGCAGCAAGTAACGGAGCTAAGAGGACACGCACTGCGAACGGCGAGAGGGGCGCGGGGGGGGGGTGTAATCTGAGAGGCATTGCCCGCATTGCATACACCGTCGCTCCCTCTCCCCGCCCCATTTAAACGGGGGAGTAAAGGAGGACAGGAGGAAAAGCCCTTTCTGCGCCGCAAAGGGTAGCTGAGAAACGAAGGCTGCTAATAATGTTTCCCCCCCCCCGCACCCCGCCCGGAGAGGGGTGGGGTGGAGACAGGCCACCCTTCTCAATGCACATGATCTGGGGTGGGGCGTCCTCCTGCCTCGGGAAGGGAGGCCTCCATCCTGCCCGGGCGGCCCTACTAGGAAGCGGCGACGGGGAGAGGCCCTTGCCGGGAGCGCCCCTGCCCTGCCTGGCCCCCTTACCGCGATCACGTTGACGAAGGTGGTCTTGCCCGAGTACTGCAGCCCCACCAAGGTGAGCTCCATCTCCTCCTTCCAGAAGAGCGCCCGGAACCAGTCCAGCAGCTTGGTGAAGAGCGCCAGCATCCTGCTCCTTTCTCCTGCCTCTGCTTTCCCCGACCAGGCCCGGCGCCTCTTTATTGTCCCCCGGAACGAGCCGGCCTTGCCGCCGCCGCGCTCTGCCTCGGGGCTCCGCTCGGCTCGCAGACGCGCACACGCTCGGCTCCGGCCGCTCAGCTGCTCCTGGGTGGGGTCACGCAGCGACTGAGCCGGGCGGAGAGGCGGCTCTCGACGGCCTCCGCCGCGGGACCCGGCAGCGGCCTCTGCAGGCCGGGAGGACTCGGTGCAGGCGAGGCCTAGCAGGGGACGCTTGAGGCTGCGATCCTATTCACTCCGTTGCCCGCGAGTCAGCCCCACTGAACGCAGCGGGGCGGACTTCGTGGTGTTCTCTCCTCCTGAGGCGGGGTTCCCAGGTTTCCATTAAAGCGGGGCTTCCCGGCTGCCCGGGGGGGGGGACCCCGAGGCCCCTACCGGATAAAAAGTCAGAAATGCCGAACAGGTTTTCTGAAAGACAAGCTCGCTGCCACCTGCTCAGTCTTCTTTTTGTTCCCGGAAAGATAAGGTGCTGTCAAGGCCTGCAGGCCTTCCCTCGTAACTCGACCTCGCCATCGCTGGTTGTGAGCTTGCTTCAAGGGGCAACAGACACTGCGTCAGAATCTTTCCCAGAATCCTTTGTGAGTCCTTTGGAGGCAGGGGTGAGGCCAGGATTGGACAGGTGGGATGTAACTGGAGGGGTTTCAGTGGGTTTGCTCCCAAGTGTGACTTAAGTTTGGATCCAATCGATAAGAAGTCTAAAGAGGGATGGCAGCTTTGGCTCCAGTTGTTGTTGTTGGCTCCAGTTGTTGTTGTTGTTTTGACATGTGCCTTTGGAAAAAAACGGCATCAGTTGGCATGATCCAGATCTTATACTTGTAGATGGAGCTGGGCTGAGGTGTCTGGGGAAAGCAGGTCAGGGGAAGGAAGAGCGGACAATAGAAGCAAAGAAATGCCTTCCATCTTACTGAGTACAATTAGGTCAAATTTACGGATCAGTAGCAAACTGGAGGTGGGAATTTCCTGAACTAGAAATCCTTTTTATTTTTATTTTTTGTATTCCTCTAATAGTTCCTAATTTCCCATCCATTATGCATAGACTCTGTGCCCCGCCTTCCCACTCCTATGTGGGAAGGTGGAAAATGCAGGTGGTGCCTTTCCATTTTTTATATTCACTGGGCCCATCACCTCCTGGCAAACAGAAGGGGAAGAAATGGAGGCAGTGAGAGATTTTACTTTCTTGGGTTCCATGATCACTGCAGATGGTGACAGCAGCCACAAAATTAAAAGACGCCTGCTTCTTGGGAGAAAAGCAGTGACAAACCTAGAAAGCATCTTAAAAAGCAGAGACATCACCTTGCCAACAAAGGTCCGTATAGTTAAAGCTATGGTTTTCCCAGTAGTGATGTATGGAAGTGAGAGTTGGACCATAAAGAAGGCTGATCGCCAAAGAATTGATGCTTTTGAATTATGGTGCTGAGCTCTCAAGAGTCCCATGGACTGCAAGAAGATCAAACCTATCCATTCTGAAGGAAATCAGCCCTGAGTGCTCACTGGAAGGACAGATCGTGAAGCTGAGGCTCCAATACTTTGGCCACCTCATGAGAAGAGAAGACTCCCTGGAAAAGACCCTGATGTTGGGAAAGATGGAGGGCACAAGGAGAAGGGGACGACAGAGGATGAGATGGTTGGACAGTGTTCTCGAAGCTACCAGCATGAGTTTGACCAAACTGCGGGAGGCAGTGGAAGACAGGAGTGCCTGGCGTGCTCTGGTCCATGGGGTCACAAAGAGTCGGACACGACTAAACGACTAAACAATAACACTGTTTATTTTAAATAGAAAATAAACAGATGCCATGTTACAAAACTTTGTGCAGTGCTTTGTAATATTTTCATTTGAATACATATTTTTGTTCAAATATATGTATTCAAATATATGAATACATATATTTGCTACAAAGCCGCATTGAGTAACTGGTATCTAATGTACATAGAAGTCATACAGGTTAATTTTACGTTGCACTGAAGCTCTGCTTTACCTACAATATAATGAAGACAATTGTCCAGATATGGAGAATACTCAGAACTCTGTATTGCAGTTACTAGCCAGCAATGACACACACTTTACAACTCCACAAAGAGTTACTTTGGTAAAGGGTTACTTCCACATTTTTCTAACAGTAGCTTCCTCCTGCTGTTTCCACACGAATTTTCAGTTGTGTGCCTGTCATGCATTTCCCCCCTCTTTCTATTTTTTTTCCAGAAGGCAAACTCAGAGTACAGCCACTACTACAACCCAATTTTTCCAGTTTCCTCGCCACCAAGAGATGACAAGTACTGTGAGATCAAGGCTTCAGAGTCAAATTTTGAAGTGGAGGCATTCTTAGAGGGCAGATCGCCTTTGGGGAGGAATAATGAAGGCAGGACTGGGAGAGCCTAATTATGGTCTTTTCTCCAGAAAGCCTCTGAAGTTTAGATGGCTTTAAGGGATTTATGCAGGATACATCTGTCAACAGCTATTAGACATTATAGCTAAATGGAACCTCCAAATTCAGAGGCAGAATATCTGAATATAAAGAGCTGGGGACAGGAGAAGGCAGTTGCCTTCCTGCTCTGCTTTCAAGCTTGGAGAAGCAACTGGCTGGCTACTGTTACTAACATAATGCTTGACTAGATGAACCTTTGGTCTAGTCAAGCAGGGGGTTCTGATGTTCTTAATTAGGAGAAGGGACTAGATTGGGTGTTTATCTCCTCTCCTCTACCATCCTCTGCTGCCACTTGACTCATTTGGGACTCAAGCTGATATAACTCATCTTCCTTCCACTGACCACAAATCTACACTTGTAGACAACAGCATGAGCATGATGTTTTGAGTGATGCTGTGCACTGTGAGTCCAAGGAGGCTAGGCAGGGAAGAGAAACAACTATTCTCACCCAATCCTGGGTTCAGACAAAACACTAAGCAAAACTTTGACTTAGTTGGTGTCCTGCATTGACTTAAAACCCCCAGAGACCAGCCAAGTGGATGCAGGATGCTCTCTGGGAGCCAGCACATTCATACTGTCATGGCTTACTCTGATGTGCAAAGCAAGCTGCTATCTCTCCTGCTCAGAGATATGCACTCCTTTCTTCTCCTCAATAACCCACTCCATCCTCATATCTGCCCACTGGAAACATGCCTAGTCCAGCACCAAATACAAAACCCATTCTGCTACTATTTTTTTTTTTAACATCCCAATCTTCCTTTGAAGTTGGCATTGTGAATTTTGTTGGATTTTATTTTGCAAAGCAGTGGAATATTTAGTATTGTAGTCTAAATCTTCTCACTATCCATTGGGATGTTCTCCTGCACCCATTGAAAAAGAAAGAGGGAGTGGACAGGATTGGTAGCACCTAAGATTAGCTTTGCCCCTCCTTTCATTCAGGTTCTACTTTGAGGAAGAGCTGAAGAGCTCTTGTCCTGTGACTTAAAGCATAAGGCATGGATAACGGGAGTGGAAGTTGCTGTTGCCAGTAACACCTAATTTAAGTGTTTCTCTGAGAATACAGTGTCTTCCCCATCCCCTTGTTTTTGCCCTTTGTGTGGACTCAGCCCACCAGAACCAAAGAGGAGAGAGGCTGTTGCTGCTGGAGCTCTCCTGGTGGCAGTTTGCTTGTTCAACCACTGCAGCCTGCTAGGAGAGGAAATGGGAAAGAAGACAGATAGCAGATGCTGCCAAATGAAGTGGAATCAATCAGTTTAAATTATGTGGCTGGTTTGGTATCAGAAAGACTGTGCTTTAATCCTGTTATAACCTCTAGCCCTGAGGTGAAATTGCACCCCTTCCTTACAGCACTATTTCTTTAAAAAGCAAAACAAAAAACCATAGCTTTAACTTTTGCTCTGATCTAAACTCTGCCCTACCATGTGGCAGAGTGAGGCAACTGCCTCAGGAGGCAAATTCTGAGGGGAGGAAAGTGGCTAGAAAGGCGTGCCATGTGGCTTCCCCTACAGCCCCAAAACTATCTTGCTGCCCTAGCATGGCTGGCACACCAATCAGGTGACCTTCCTCAGGTGGCATGCTTGACAAGGGGTGGTTGATCCCGATCTGGCCTTGGCAATGGTGGCTTCCAACGCAGCCCAGAGCTAAAGCTGAGGAGAGCAGCAGCACCTCACGGAATACCCTCTTTTCACCAAGAGTCTCAACCACAGGCCCAGATCTGTGTGGTGGGTGGGGATGTCAGAGCCACAGGGTATTGAGCCCTGAATATAAAGCTTTTAAAAAATGCCCCTTTATTTTCTTCTTCCTTTGCTATCTATAGAAAAGAGACACTTCAGCTGGATTCTAAAGCATGGAAGAAAGCCTATACAGTGTAATTTAACTGACCTTCTTGGCTACCATCTTGGAAGGTTTCAAGAACACACTAGTCAGGAAACTAAATAACAAACTTAGAACAGCAAGCGTTTCCTTCCCGCTATAAGCCGGTACCTATTATCTACTTGCAACTTAAGGGTGCCTTTCGGAAACTGCTAGGTGGGGTCAGGAGCTGGACCGAATGACGGGGAGCTCACCGCCGCTGGGGATTGAACCGCGACATGGCGATCGGCAAGTCCTAGGCCGCTGAGGTTTACCCACAGCGCCATTACGCGTCCCTTTCAAGAACACACTAGTCAGGAAACTAAATAACAAACTTAGAACAGCAACAGGAACCTCCTGGTTCCACTCAGATACAACTGAGTTCAGTGCCACCTAGTGATTTAAAATATTTAATGACACTATCCACATAGCCATGAGTGCAAATTCTCCTGAATGCCCTTTCAGATCAATAGCCCATGAAAAGCAATGGCTCATGATGATTGCAGTACCTCTGCAAATTTCCCTGCAGCAACAATGCTAGTTATATTTACTGGGACAAAACAACACAATTTACCTTCTCTTTTCCTTTTTACGTTAAAACATGCATTTGATGTGAATGATTTTTCTCCTTCCAGCTAAAGACTGTAAGAGGAGGAGGATCCCGTTAACTGTAAAGATGAAATTTATTGATTCAAGCAGGTACTATCTAGTCAATGTGCACATCAGCTGAGAGCCAGATCATACCTCCCATAACACAATAATTTGCTGCTCATCCATCTCATCTTCAGACAAGGTCCCAGAATGTTTTAAAGGGTGAACTATGTCTGTAAACCTGCAGTGGACATACACTTGGAAGCTAAATCCCAAAACAGGTACCTGGCACATGTCCTTGTATATAGAGGTTTCCCCTTAAAATATGTTTAGTATTTGAAACACACACAGAACAAGCGATAAATTTGTCTTTCACATAAAGTGTGAATCAGATCTTATTACTTCTGCTTTACTGTTTGTTTGTTTTTAATTTATTTGCAAGTTCACAAATAATATGGCTGTGATATTAAATGCATAGTGTGGGAGCTTAATGATAGAAGGTGGGAATCCCTTCTGGGTACCAGTGGTGTAGGACTGCAGCAGTGAATGTAGATGAACCTAGAGACTTGCTTCACATTGGGTTGTATTCAGCTGAGTCATACTCCGAAGGGAACACTGAGCTCTGGCTTCTCAATACAGTGCAAGGAGTTTGGTATGGAAATATTTCACTTTTGTTCCTGGAAACCCTGTGAAATAAGGCAAAATCATTATGGATGTCAGATACCTCCGGCAGAATGGGATCCTGCAATGAAATGACACCACAATGTATGAATTCATGCTAAAAGCCTCTGTAACACTTCATCTCTGGGCTGTGGGTGTTTCTCCTGGGTTATCTGCAAAATTCTGTGTGCATACAAGTCCCACCTGCAATATGCAGCTGGTGCTGCTAGCTGGAAGGAAATATTCAATAGTACCTTGTCCCTATGGCACTGTTTTTCCTGGGCAGGGCACCAGAGATTTGAGGTGTACACTTGCGTTACACATTCTCTGTGCAGGTGGTTGCCGCCTTTTTTGGATGATGCTCCTCCTTCAGACTCAAATAGGTGGACATTATCAACCTTCTTAATTATGTTAGTTCCTGGCAGAAGAAAAAGTAGTGGAAAACTAGAGACAATGTTCTAGTCTTCCTTGCAGCCACTACACCAGCAGAGGCTTTGGCGAACACATTTGAGAACAGCTAATACAAAATGACAGGGTTCAGTGATACATAATAATTTCTGTAGTACTGGCTATTTTTACTTTTCCAGTGCTCTCCGAGGTGTCCCTGCAGCTCCACTGACTTTGCTTCATAAAAGTAGTAAAATAAGATTGAAATGAACTGAACCCCAGAAAAAAACTGCAAAGTGTTTTTTGAGGGCAGGGGTTCAGAGGAGGGACACAGTTGCCGTGATTAAGATTCTAGTGTGTGCCTCCAGACCCTTCCAATAGCTTGAGTGTAAGGCTCAAGGAAGTTTCCGGATTCCATGCAGAGTCACACAGAAGTCTCTGACAGGGTTTCAAGGCCCCTGCCCTTGTTCTTTCAACCTTTTCTCACCTGGAGAGGTTAGGCAGGTTTCATGCTACTGATCCCAATGACCAACCAACTTGCAGGCTCAGGATGAGAACCTCATTTTAAATTGCTAACTCCTGACCTCCCCTTTTCAGAGCTCTGTGCTCCTCCAGCTAGATTTGCATTGACTCAATTCACACATTTCACATAGCCAAACCCTGGTTTACCACAAACAAGAAAATATATGGGTTCCAAATATCATGGCCACAGCACTCCTCCCCATTGTCCTGCTGCTGTGCTCCCTGAAGGTAAATCATGATTTGTTTCACTTCAAGCACACATGCTCAGTCTTTGCACATGTGCACATTAATCACTGTGGCAGGTATTTGTTCTTAAGGAGGAACTTTTGGCCTTTTGTGGATGGACTGTGGGGGCACATTTGACCCCAGCGCTTATATATTTACCAAATCTACAGAGTGCTTGTTTCCATTTAAGTCCTGAACTGCTCATGCAATCCCACTGAGTGATTTAACACAGCATCCATGCATGCCCATATAAATTTGTGACTCGCATATAGGTAATGGATTTCTCTGATGAGTTCCAGTATTGAAACATTTGCTTCTTTATGCATGATCAGCATAATAAAAGCAGTTCAAGAGAAATGATTTCTAGATTCCAAGGAGGAAATGCAGAGAGGAAATAAACATGCCTAAAACTACATGGAGGCTGCAGCTGTTGGCCAGAGAAATACAAATATCAAACTGAGTTTCAAGAGACTGGAGAACATCAGTAGAATGAGTGGGGAGGAAATTATTGTTTTGCAATTAATGAAGTCCCTCTTCCTGATGACATTTTGGATGCAAGGCCAGGGGGTGGGGTGGGAAGGAGAGCATTCTCCAAAGAAGTGTAACAGGAATGAGGAGAAGAAACTAGATTAGTGACCATATCTGATATCAACAGTCATGTATCCTGAATAGTAAACAATAAACAGAACAAACTATTTTCAAGGAACCTGAAATCTGGTTTAAGTTTGCACACATCATTCAGGGAGTTCAAAACAAGCACAAGAAACACAACATTAGAATTTGAAGTCTGCTTTGTGATAGAAGACATTCCTATGGTATGCAACCGGTGACCAGGTACTTCTTCTTGGGCAGAGATTACACTCCAGGCTGTTGAAACACAAGTAGTTTTCTCTATATTGCTACTGATTGGAGAGTCAGAAAAAGGCTCCGTCAAGCCATGTGTCAAGGAGGAGAGAGCCAATTCCACATGCCAACACAAGAAAATGACACTAGCAGTCTGTGATCTTAGGAAGCTGTGATGCATACATGGCCAGTGTGTGATGGAGGAACTGGTATTGTTCACTGGTTTGTATCATTCCACCCCTGCAATACAAAGAAAAACTATTGAGTTGTGCACTCACTGGGAGCTACAATGATTCAATTCTGTGAAACAACTAGCATCTTGCGAGAGCCCAGCACGCCTTGCAAAAAATTCAGGTGATGCTGTCTATTGTTCCAGAAAGTGAAGCAAGCCTTCTAGTGCATCTACTGTATGTACTAAAGATAACAAAAGGAGTGGTGTGGTAAAAACAATGCTCCTAGGGGCCTCACTGCAAATGTTGTCCGGGGATAGTGGCCCAGGCTAGGGGAAGGAGGGAGGGAGGACACAGTGAAGCAAGGAAGCATCCACAGTGGGACCATGGAGGAATGCTGGAAAAAAACCTAAACGCTAGCAGCTGCTATTGAAAAATTGTTGAGGGGTGGACTAAAGAAGAAAACATAGGAAACTGACTCAGACTGGTCCATCTAACTCAGCACTGTATTTTCTACACTCACTGGCAGTAGCCCTCAAGGGTCCTAGACGTGTCTTTTCCAACCCAAATGGAGATTCTGGGGATTGAATCTGGGAGCATCTGCAAGCAAAGCAGATGTTCTTCTTCATGGTGGAACTGAAAAGTGCTGTTGCAGAGAGAGTGCCCTCTAGATCCTTGTCATTTTTCCTGATAGCACACGTGCTACATTTTGGTCAAATCTGCTACTGTGCAATCTCCTTATACATACATGGCAAAACATTGAAGAAATGAGTCCAAAGATGTATATTTGACCTAACAGTGTGTGCCAAGCCTACAATGGTTGAAGGCTGTTGTATAAGGGCACATTGTTTCCCTGGAGTGCTGGCCAGGCCAGGCCTAATAACAGCGGTGTATATACCTCCCGATGCAAACACTACTACAGCTATGGGCCACCTGCTAACTGCTATTAGCAGACAGCAGCGGGCCCACCCGAATGGAGCATTTGTGGTTGCTGGTGATTTTAACCGAGCCGATTTAAGGACTGTGCTCCCTAAGTTCCACCAGTATGTTGATTGTCCCACTAGGGGGGGAAATACCCTGGATCGAGTATATAGTAACATCATGCATGGATACAAGACCAAGCCCTTGCCCAATTTGGGGCAGTCAGACCACATATCTTTACTTATGATACCATCATATAGACCTCTCGTACGCAGAATTAGACCATCAACTAGAGAGATACGAGTGTGGCCAGTAGGTGCATCTGAGCAACTTCAAGATTGCTTTCGGAGCACCGAGTGGTCGCTTTTGTGGAGAATAATGTGGACACATACGCTTCAACAGTACTGTTCTACGTTAAAAGCTGCATTGATGTTGTCACTACCACCAAACAAATACGGGTGTTCCCTAACAACAAGCCCTGGCTAAACAGGGATGTGTATCTTCTGTTAAAGGCAAGAAATGCTGCTTTTCACTCTGGTGATGTGCAACAGTATAGAGAAGCCAGAGCCAAATTGAAAAAGGGCATTAGGAACGCCAAAGCTATGTACTGCCGGAGGATCAAAAAACATTTTGAGAGCTCCGACCCTCGTCGAGTATGGCAAGGCCTGCGACAAATTACAGGGCAAAATATTAAAAACGAACTGGCTAGCAGCAGTGCGCACCTGG